TCATATTGAGAGAGTGTGTTAACTCAGTCTCCTGGAAACCTCCTGGATCCACTTTAGATTGTTCTCTTGACAATACCAACTCCATTTTACTGTTTTTCGTTCACATTATAAATGTTTCAAATGAATAAATGACTTAATGGATGAAAGGAAAGGTTAAAAATTATTTAATGATAGTGATTGCAATTCACTAGTGAAAATCAGCCAATCAATTGGTACTTATTATTATTATATTTTAGTATGTTTTTATTGATTTCAAAGAGAGGGAGGGAGAGGGGGAGAGAGAGAGAGAGAGAGAGAGAGAGAGAGAGAGAGAGAGAGAAACATCAATGATGAGAATCATCAATCAGCTGCCTCTTGCATGCCCCCTACTTGGAACTGAGTCTAAAATTCGGGCATCTGACCTGACCTGGAATCAAACCATTACCTCCTCTTTCATGGGTCGACACTCAACCCCTGAGTCACACTGGCCAGGCAATATTTATTATTTATTGCATACATTATGTGACAGTTTGTACATGAAGCTATATTCCAAAAAACCGTGGTAAAAAAGCAAGTGGATTGGTGAATCACCTGGACTTTTCATCCAGTGTAAATGTGAAGCTTTGGGCCCCTTTGAAGACTTTTTAAGATGTCTTTGGATCAGTGCTAACTATAGGCTACATGGTCCCGGCTACTGATATGGATTAAACAGAGTTGGGCAGACCAAGCATAATTTGATCGTTGTTTAATCAAGTGGTTTGCCAAGGTCAAGTGGTCACAGATAGAGTCAGCATGTGTTGTCCAAGGTTAATGCAACAGTTCATGCACAGCCATCAGTGTAGCAACCTCTAGGATCAGCTCTGCCTGAAGATTCTGCTGACTTTAATCTGACAGTTTAGGCAAAAATTGACCTTTCCAACATCTCCGTTTCCTCTGGACATAACACAATAACCTGATCTCCCTAATTAGATTCCTCATGACCAATCATCCCCAAAAGCAGTTTCTCTTATCCGGGAGACTGAGAACCTGAATGCCCTAGGGCTCTGGGCCTTCTCAAGCAGATGTTATCCTCTAGGGGTGGGCAATGGCCTGAGACATGGGGACTCATTTCATTCCTGATTGCTAGGGTGAATGGTTTCCACCATTTAGAGCAGCGGTTCTCAACCTGTGGGTCGCGACCCCTTTGGGGGTCAAACGACCCTTTCACAGGGGTAGCCTAAGACCATCGGAAAACACACATATAATTACATATTGTTTTTGTGATTAATCACTATGCTTTAATTATGTTCAATTTGTAACAATAAAAATACATCCTGCATATCAGATATTTACATTATGATTCATAACAGTAGCAAAATTACAGTTATGAAGTAGCAACGAAAATAATTTTATGGTTAGGGGTCACCACAACATGAGCAACTGTATTAAAGGGTCGAGGCATTAGGAAGGTTGAGAACCACTGATTTAGAGCCTCATGAATTGGCTTGTTAAAGCTGTAATTCCTTACACATATGCCAGTTTATGTGGTTATCATGCCCTGAACACTGCTTCAATGCTAAGTCTGGCTGTACCCCAAGACCTGGAATCCTCAGTGGCATCCTGTCTTGACTTTAATTTGCAGCAGCTCTCATAACAAATACAGAAAGAAGTGTTTATTCAAGGAGCTCGATGCAACATCTATGGTCCTGAAAGCATGCAAAAGATTAGAAATAAATACTCCTTTTAAAAAAATTATCATTGATTAGGAGCTTGAAGTTAGCTGACTACTAGAATCAATCACTCTTTTAAAGAATGAATAATAATGCTTTATTCCATTTCCTATGTCTTTTAGTAATTCCTGTTTCACTAACACCCAACCATTTAAATAGTGAATCCAGTAATATATATTTTAAATTCAGTATATATATTTTAAAAGAAATATATATCTATATATATATATAGATATATAGATATAGATACATATATATAGATATATATAGATATATTTCATAGCTACTATTGTTGCAGCATTTTCTCTACTTTATTGTAGTTAGGATCCTTTTCTTTTGTAGCTAATTCTAGTTGGTTGATAACCTTGAACTATGCCATCTTAACATTTTATTTACTTGTCACTATATAGTTCTGATAGCGCATGTCTGAACTCTCAATCTTTAGAATGCTACAGAATCATGTCCATGTACCTCCTTTTACATACATTTTTATAAGAGCATATATTTAAAATATCATATAATTCTTTATTGGAAAGTCAAAGGTCCTGGCAATCACCCATCACTTCTGTTTTCATGCAGAGAATTTTTCTGTAGAAGACCTCCAGCACCATCACTAACTTTCAGAGATACAAACCTCAAGAGGATCTTATGTAAGACCGATTCCTGAGAAAAAAACAAAGGGTTGGAAAGATAAAATTTTTGTAATTTCAAACCACTCCCACTGAATTTTATTTGAGAACTTCCTGAAATCATATAGACATAGGGAAAGCACCAACCAGCCCTCATAGGCAAGAAAGTAAGTTATTTTCCCCAAAGAAATCCCCAACCAACTTAAGGCAGCAGAAAAAATTTAATTGTTGCATATCCTTATTTCCTCTTTTACTGACTTTTTCTAAACAAGGGACCCAGAGCTCTGTTCGGTCCCCCAATTAAAGGGAGGTTCAGAGGATACAGTAAAAAAGATGTATCCTTTAGATATGAATTTTCTAAGTTATTTCAAATACGATAAAAAATGCAAGTGGCGCCCTGACCGGTTTGGCTCAGTGGATAGAGCGTCAGCCTGCGGACTCAAGGGTCCCAGGTTCGATTCCGGTCAAGGGCATGTATCTTGGTTGCGGGCACGTCCCCAGTAGGGAGTGTGCAGGAGGCAGCTGATCGATGTTTCTCTCTCATCAATGTTTCTAACTCTCTATCCCTCTCCCTTCCTCTCTGTAAAAAGTCAATAAAATATATTTTTTAAAAACATGCAAGTGGCGCCCTAACTGGTTTGGCTCAGTGGGTAAAGCATTGGCCCAAGGACTTAAGGTTCCCGGGTTCAATTCCAGTCAAGGGCATGTACCTTGGTTGCAAGCTCGATTCCAGACCCTGGTCGGAGCACGTGTGGGAGGCAACCAATTGATGTATCTCTCTCACATTGATGTTTCTCTCTCTGTGTCTCTCCCTCTCTTTCCACTCTCTCTAAAAATCAAAGGAAAAAAAATCCTCACATGAGGATTAAGCAAAAAAAAGGAAAAAAATGCAAGTAGCTTTCTGAACTATAGACCTTATATAATTTAGTGCAATTATATAATTCTATAAACTTCACTGATTGCTAGAAAGACAGTATCACATAGTGTTGAGAGTACTCTGGAATGTCAGACTATTTGGGTTTGAATTCTATCTCCTGTGCTTGCTGTGTGACCTTGAATAGCTCATTTAACCTGTCTGAGTGTGAGCCACCTTATCTGTCAAATAATAATTACCTTAAGAATTATTATCAGGATTAAATGAGTCAATACGTATAAAGCACTAAGAACAGTACTGTTGCAAAGTAAATACTGTATTATTATATATGCTAAATTTCACTGAATTCTGTAAAAAATTGCTATGCATGTGCGGGCTTATATATCTAACACATTTAACGATAAGTGAAAACATTTATCAATAATTGCTTTGTTTCAATTATTGGTGCACACTGATACTCTAAAGAAGTATAGCAAATTTGGTGAAATTTATAGTTTCTTCAAAATCATTGTGGAATAAACTTATAAATAGAATGAGACATTAAATGTCAAATGTTAAAATATACATTTTTATTCACATCAACAAAAATGGTTAAAATCAAGAAAAAGGAAAATACATGTTCAGAAAATAGAGAATTCATCTCAGGAATGAGGCACAGGACATTCCCAGCATGGCAGGGAGGGAGGCCCCAGAGCATCAGTTGAATGTAAACTTCGTTGTGCAAAGGAATCACTGGGGGATCTGGTTAAAATGCAGATTCTGATTCAATAAGTCTGGGTAGGGCTTAAGATTCAGAATTTTTAACGGTTCTCCACAGGATGCTGACGTAGCTGGTTCGGGGACTACAATTTGCACTGCAGAGCGTAAGGAACAAACAGTCCAGATTGTCACAAGACTGTAGGGAGAAAGAATGGGAGAGAGAAATTGATTTGCTTCTGGGAGATCATTGAGGATGACAGTGTTAGGCCGTAATAGTACAGTACAGTAGAAAAGGAAGAGGGATGAAATAGAGGGAAAGGTTAATCTTTACAAATCAAGGGGAAACATGGGCTGGGGTGAGGGCAGTGCCATATATCCAGGTGTTTATTTGCCCCTAGTAAACACCTGAGGAGGAAGGCCGTACCCCCTGAACGGAAACAAATTGGGGGGTCGGTATCTCAGGAGCATCCCGAGGAGATGCTCTGGAGGGCGGGGATGCAGCCGGGTAGTGGGCGGAGCCTCGGCCGGCCTGACTCCGAGCCTCAGGGGGTGGGGAGTAGGCGGAGTCTTCTCCCTAAATAGGCGCGCTGGGGGGCGGTGCAGGCATTCGGATTGGTGGTTCTTGAACCCGGAAGCAGTCGGCGGCGCTCGGAAGCCTCGGCGGCAGG